AGTCATCAGGTCTACTCCACTTCCTTGTTGCCTGCTTAGACTCTTGGCACTCTTAGGTAAAAGCAGACTTAGTCAGCCTGTGTTGCCCTAACAGGGAGACAGGATCTCCACCTGGGCTCTGGTCATCAGAAGGGACTTGCCTCAATATGCAGTCAGTGGCTCAGCTCCTGGTTGTTCCAGCAGGCTCAAGTGTTGGCACTTGGGAGAGACATCTGTGCTTGCATGTTAGCCAAACTTGTTGGTAAGGGGATCATTGTGAAAGTGACCCTCACGAACAATTATATTGCCTATGCCAATCTGCAGAGGATTTGGCTCCAGCACAAAGGCAATTATCAAGGTTGCTATGCTGTCCTGAAGCAGTCAATGGACTGGAGCACCACAGAGAAGCTGGGCTGCATGGAGGCACTGACCTTTATCTCCTCCTGGCATCTGGAGGACTTGCTAATGGTGGAGAAATCTAGAGGACTCACTGATGGTGGAGATTGCAAGACATGGTGGACTGCAGAAGCTCAAGCAGGATGAGAGTATGACACTCAATCAGTGTCACAAGGATGTCGCATGATGTTTCAAACTCAGCAATCTCAAAAGTGTCCAGGGTTATCTAGAAAAACTTGCTCAAGGGATTGAGGTATTGGAGAAGGCCTTGCTTGCTACCAGCCCCCCTCAATTCCAAGAGGCAAGGAACTGATCTCACATGCCATCTATGAGCATGGACTTGTAATGGCTTACAGCACAATCTGCAAACATCTCCAGCTCATTCCTGGGGCTTTGATGATCAAGGTGGCCATACTGAATACTCCAAATTCCACAGCAGCCCACGACTTGTCTTTGTCTCCTGCTTGGGATGGGACAATAACTGATGAAGATATTGCAGCTTTCATTACCCACAACCATATGCCGGAAACTCCCAAGACTCTACAACAGTGGTGTAAAGACTGGACAGAGATCCAAACATGGTTTGAGGGGCAAACAATGCCCATGGAGGGGGAGGAATCATGGAAGGTGTACAATGTTCTTGAGCAGGCCATACCCAACTTCTCAAGAGTATCCAAAACCTTTGTATTGTAGATAGTTAGTACTGTTGGTATTCAATACATTTGTCAAGACATATGTGAGGGCATGCCACAATAACAAGGCTACTGCAGGGGCTAGAAGCAACAGATAGGGGGCAAGGAGGGCATTGTAGAGAGGGAGTAGACTCAATATAGAGTGTATTGATCAAGTGCCTAAAGGATTACAGTGGTGGAGAATCCTCAGAGACGAGATCTGGGGAGAAAAAGGCCCTAAAGGCTCCATATAAATACTCCCGTGGCATAAGGCTGATGAGTCTCAGTAGGAACAGCTGCCTAGGAGTAAGCATGGGTACAGGCATCATGGAACACCATGGAACAGAGGTAGGAAAAACCAGAGGTGGTAGGAACCACCATGGAACACCATGGAACCCATGCAGGGCCACAAAGCTGCACACAGTGGAAATCCACACAGCACCCATGCCACAACCCATGATGCAACCCTGCACAGGCCTCATGGATCACTTTGAGAAGGCCTGGAAGTGAGGAGAAGCAGGGATAGAACATGTGATAAGGGGTACAAGACCCCAAAATAATGTGTTCCCTGACAACATATGACAAGTACAGGACTATGTGTGGTGTCTGATAGTATGAAATGGACTGAGTGATATGGAGAAATCAGTTTGATTGACAGAGTGCTGAAGTGTGTTCAAGAGGGAGGGGGGGGGCAAAAATATTTCATTACCACTATGGAATTATACTAATCTAGCCATTGAAAAATACCACCTTGTCCTACCTTTTTTTTGTTTAAAAAAACTGCTACTCCACCCTTGAACTTGTATTGCTTGCACTGAGGACTGCACAGTCCAGCCATACAGTCTACCCTACCTGCCTCTCCTCCCCACACCCATCCCTCCTTCAAATATCCAATCAACTTCAGAAGGGCAGGTGCATGAAGACCCCAGCCCAAGATCATTTGCCTTGTAAGAGACAGGTGCATGGATGAGCCATGCACTCTGCCTGCTTAAGGCTGCACTTGTGGTCTAGCCACCAGTGCCAAGAAGTCAAAAAAGACTGCTGTGTGGTCAAAGCCATGCATGCAGTCTTTGTGAAGAATCCCCCCTCATGCCCTCTTATATGGGATGGGGGGAGAGAAGGTGAGGACATTCAAAATATGACCTGCATTAATGTCAGTAAACCCAAGTGCATCAGAATATTGATGCACCTACAAACAAATCAATATCTGAGCAACATGTTAGTATGAGTAATCAAAGATAAGAAAAAAATTAGACTTACTGCAGATGAGAGGAAAGAGAGGGCCGACCAGTGGTGGAGGTAGAGAAGAGAGAGGTGACCATGGATGTGTCAATGTTTTAGGACCCTCACACGGAACATACAAACACTATCTGTGCCACCTCTCCCCCCCTTGTCCGCACTTTTGCAGCCCTCCCATTGGGTCAAATGGAGAATTGACGGCTCCAACCGATGCACGGCCACTGCACAGCCACATCTCGCTGGCGTCCTTAAAGCCAAAAAATAATAATTTCCCGCATTGTGATTTATTTCAAATATGTAAATAACATGTTGGTATAAGAGTATATTTCATTCCCAACTTGTTCGAGGTGAAATGATTTCCAAATGATT